GTTATAGTGAAAAAAGCAAAGCAAAGGGAGCTTAGAAAAAACAGGCACCAAGGTAATAACAATCACACAGCCTCTCAATTGCATTGATTTCAGGCTTGAAATCAACGCCTAAACAATGTGGCTCAGATTCCATTCTTATATCAAAGCTTCTTAAGAAGCTAGACGTTGACTTTAAGAGAAATAACATGTTTCTCAGGCAGATGAGCATTCATATGCTTGTTTTTCACTGTTAAAAAGCACGGTGGCATTCTGGTTTATACATCTAGGTTATTTCTCTTAATAACTCAACGTCCATAAGAACAAGCAGCTCTGGCAGGTTAAGGGTAAGGAGGTCTGTACCCGCAGAACTGCTGGCTTGATCCAGAGGCAGCCTGAGCCTGCAGCTTAATGTACTCTTTGGGATCCATCTGGGTGTCCCAAAGTTCTTCCTGGATTATGCATTTCCTTTAAAAATACCTGTAGAACACGTCTTTCTACAAATCGCTGCTCTGCTCTGTGGTTAAAAAAGGGCCCTGTAATACATCTGTCCAAAAGTAACCTCACAGGGGGAGCTGATCATAAATTCCTAACTGAGCAGGTCATGGTGGGTAGTCACTCCCCAGGCCTATAAAAAGGTTCATCTGTGCCTTAAGTAAGCCCTGTTCATTGCTCTTGTGCATCTATATTAACACACTAGAGGCCCGGTGCATGGATTTGTGCACCGGTGGCATCCCTTGGCCTGGCCTGCAGGGATCAGGACAAAACCGGCTCTCTGACATCCCCCAAGGGGTCCTGGATTGCTAGAGGGTGCAGGTCAACCTGAGGGACCCCACTGGTGCACAATTGGGACCGGGGAGGGTCTTGGGAGGTTGGCCAGCTGGGGAGGGACCACGGGAGAGCTCCAGGGTGTGTCTGGCCCATCTCGCCTGGTCTGGATCGGCCGGACCCCAGCAGCAAGCTAACGGTCTGCCCCCTGGTGGTCAGTGCACATCATAGTGACTGGTCAAATGGTCGAACAAGCGGTTGGACACTTAGCATATTAGGCTTTTATTATATAGGATGGCCCAACTAACTGAGCCACTGGGCCAGGGCAAGTAATCCTCTTCTTTAGGCCTCTTGGAGGCAGAACCACCCTCAGGGAGCATATAATCTTGGGAACTATTCTGTACCTTACTTTCTCCCACACGTATGTCATCTTCCATACATTTCCTCCTTAATTCCAGTTGCATAAGGAAAACTGCAAAATTGTCAATTTCCGGAGAATTTGAGATCTTTTTTCTGGTAGTGTCTTCAGTTTGGTTCAAATAAAATTATTAAAATTCTCTACAGGTTTGGATGTTTCTTTCTTAACAGCTAAAAATCCCAAGATGGACCCCACTACTTGTTAACGCAAGTTAAAAAACCTGGGTCTGGCTTTCAGCCTGGGAAATATTTCCCCACATTCCCTATGTGCTCAGATCCCACTGCGTTTACTCGCAGCTTTCACACACTGGGCTAAACACCACTACTCAGGTGCTCCTTGCTTAGAAGTCCATTCCTTCTCAACAGTTCATGAAAACTCCTCCACATTTTTCCAAATGAAATTCATGTTCTACTTTTTACAAGAAAGCTTGCCTATAATTCCACACTAAGTTCTCTTTTGACTAGATTCCAGAATCACATAAGATCAGGACCACAGAACCTCACTTAATTATACTACACTATTGTACTAATGTTTTAATTGCTCTATTGTTTTGTTGCCTGCCCCATTTGTAATTTCTCTGGAAAAGGTAGTGCAACCAAATAAGTTACTGCTGAAGTCCATTGGGCAAAATGTGCCTTTTAAGAATTCTTTGAGAGTCCCCACAATAAGTAGGCACAGAGTAAACCAGCAATAGTCAATGAATAAGTTTTTAAAAAGTTGAAAACACATAAGCACAATCAGTTTTTAATAACCATTTGTTCACCTAACACATTTACATTTATTTTATACTCTAGGAAAGATTCTATAGTTTCTCCCAATAAATTAATGCTAAAGAAGCATTTTCAGATTTCTTTTTCTTGGCCCCATCTCTGAAACCAATTACTTAAAAGTATCTCATTGTCATTTTAGAATCTCTTTAGCTGCACTATGATCAAACTGCTAAGAAATTATTTTTAGCCCATCTGGTGTGGCTCAGTGGTTAAGCATTCACCTATGAACCATGAGGTTACAGTTCGATTCCTAGTCAGGGCACCTGCGTGGGTTTTGGGCTGATTCTATAGTTTCTCCCAATAAATTAATGCTAAAGAAGCATTTTCAGATTTCTTTTTCTTGGCCCCATCTCTGAAACCAATTACTTAAAAGTATCTCATTGTCATTTTAGAATCTCTTTAGCTGCACTATGATCAAACTGCTAAGAAATTATTTTTAGCCCATCTGGTGTGGCTCAGTGGTTAAGCATTCACCTATGAACCATGAGGTTACAGTTCGATTCCTAGTCAGGGCACCTGCGTGGGTTTCGGGCTTGATCCTCAGTAGGGGGCCTGCAGGAGGCAGCTAATCAGTTATTCTCATCATTGATGTTTCTATCTCTCCCTCTTTCTTCCTCTCTCTGAAATCAATAAAAACATATTTTAAAAATTTATTTTTATTTCTCAAACTTAAGGTTTTAATTTTGTATCCATATAAAGTCTGAGGAAATGTTTAATTTTTTCTTTTTTAAGGGTTATTAAGCTTGGCTAAAGTAACCAGAAACAACTTTACCAACATTTTTATCAGGCCTCTTTCAATGGCGATGTGATGAACTAAGAGATTTTATTATGGGATTTAAAGGAGTATTAATTTCCAGACTTGGAGATTGTTTTGGAATCCCATAATAATCTTAGTATACGATGCCTGGCCCAATAGGTAACCATTGACTAAACAGACGATTTGGGCATACTGCCTGTGCAGTTATCCTGAAAAGTGGGCGACTAAGTAAAACAATAATTTTTTAAAAATTTAACAAAAGAAAGCCCTCAATTCCTAAAGTGAGCACCCCGCTCGTGAATACATATCTACAGAATCTCCACCAAGAATATTATTCTAAAATATGGCAAAGAGAAGTCAAGAAATGTGGGTATAAACTCAACAAGAAAGTTGATAGATGCAGTATAAGCTTTTAATTTTTCATCAGTAAAAAATTGCCCTAACCGGTTTGGCTCAGTGGATAGAGCCTCGGCCTTCGGACTGAAGGGTCCCAGGTTCGATTCCAGTCAAAGGGCCTGTACCTTGGTTGCGGGCACATCCCCAGTAGGTGGTGTGCAGGAGGCAGCTGATCGATGCTTCTCTCTCATCGATGTTTCTATCTCTCTCCCTTCCTCTCTGTAAAAAATCAATAAAATATATTTAAAAAAAATAATTTGCATTAGGTTGAATGTTTCAAAGCTAGATTATTTGAAAGTTACTTAAATATCACACTGCTAAAGAGATGAAATAACTTTTTAAAAAATATACTTTTATTAATTTAAGAGGGGAAGGCAGAGAGAGAGATGGACACATCAGTGATGAGAGAGAATCATGGATCAGCTGCCTCCTTCACACCCCCTATGGAGGACTGAGCCTGCAACCCAGGCATGTGTCCTGACTGGGAACTGAACCGTGATGTCCTGGTTCAACCACTGAGCAACACTGGCCGGGCGAGATGAAATAACTTTTAATTATCTTCCCAAACTAAAAAGAATGACACAGGGTTAATTATTTTCAAGAACTTGACTTGAAACAAACAAAAAAGGTGGTTTCACTTTAAAATATATTTTTCTCAATAAAATTATAGCTTCTATTTTAAAAATTTTGTATCAGGTTTAGGAATAGGAACATAATATTGTACATGTAGCAAATCTGTCCCTTGTTATAAAGCTTTCTTCAATGCCTTTCTGTGACCATTCCTTTTGAAAGAAGGGCTTAATCACTTCAATGTTGGATTTGCAAACACCTGAGTGCAAATATCTTATATTTCTATTTTTTGTTAAAAAGCATATAAATGTGTATATAAATATTTTAGTTCATACTCATTGAAACAGTTATTTCTATTGGAACAAAAGTACTAGGTGAGTTTAACAATAACAGTTTAATTTTCCTACGTGGTACATAACCTGACTTTAGGTCACAGTTATAAACAGACTGATAACTAAGAGTTCCCAAGTGACCCCTTGTAATGAGTTTTATATTAAGCCATGTATTTCCTTCACCTGGTCACATGCTGTATCTCAAGCTATCTCTATAGCTGAGGATTCCCACCCTTGTCAATTCCCATTTCAGGCATCTTTAGCAATCCCAGTGAGCATGAGAATATATCACACAGACAAGATTTCTGGCTAACATATCTCTAGTAGTAAAACTAAAAGCATATCCTAATCCATCTGCAAGCTTGTAGGCAAATGTCAAAAGCAAAGAAAGGCTTTGTGTTGGAACTGTCATACAATTCTCACGTGTATTGTGCTTCCAGGTCCCTGGCTGTGAATTTCCTGCCACCGATGATGGAACACACCCACAGACTCCAGGGCTTAGTATTCCCCTCTATGCTATTCACCCCAGGTGATGCAAAGAAGCCCAGAGAGAATGACTGTACTGGCGCTTTCTGCTCTGCACTTAAGCATAGAAATTAAAGGATGGATGCTGTTTGTAAAAAAGAGTAAACTTTCAAAGTTAGCAATTGGCGGAGAAGGACATGTCTAGCTAATCTAAATTCCTCACCAAAATATCTTAGGTCTCACAGGTGCTTTAAAATGCACTGGGAATATCCCAAGGGTTTCTTGGCACCTGAGGTTTCAAGATGTTTGAGCAGAGCCTGACTGTTTGAGGGAAATGCAACAGTTCCATGTGGGACTGCAGGGTACAGAATTATGTAAGGCTCTGCAGAGTGGGCGAGACCAGCGCGCTGGAACCAGTAAGGGCAGCCTCCTGCTCACCAACAAAGCGCACACACAGGTGAGGGGAGCTGGGCAGAAGGGGCGCTTCTGGCTTTCCCTCTGCCCTTTCAAAAGAGGAGAGGGAAGGAGAGAGAGGGAAGGCAAAGTACCGTCTTGTCCAGGCACTGAAGGCAGATATAAGGCTTGCAGCAGCAGTGGCCCATCCCGGCAGGTTGGCTGGCAGGGAGACCTCCTTCATTCAACGTGTCAGTGGCAATTCCTAAGGCGAGGTAATGGCTCAAACGAAAGGGGTGCGCGGCTGGGAGCTGTCACAACTTCCATGTGGTCCCCTTGGCTACCTTATTTCTCCTATTAACTTCAGGAATCCCGGAGCCAGAAGAACAGGAGGAGGAGGGGCTCCAAGCGGCGGTGTTGGGATCCTGCTGCGGGGAGAAGCAGCGCGGGAGCCAGGAAGGGAGGGGGCAGGCCGAGGGAGGGTCACTTTGCCTCGGGAATCCTCAGAACGAAGCGAATAAATAGTCGCATAACAATGGAGCACCTACCAATTGCCATCTCCCGGAGAGGACGGCCAGCCCGCCCTTACCGGGAAGGGGGTGGGGGCGGGGGCGGAGGCTGCCACTCCCATCCCTGCCCGAGTGAGGATGCGCCCTTGCACCACGCAGACTCGCCTGGAAAGGACGCAGGGAACACAAAAGAAGCCTGGCGTCCATGGGTAGTCTGTGCTGAGGACTACGGACAGGGCTGCCACAGGCTTGGCTCTGCTCAGACTATGGCTTTCGATTTTCCTGAGAAGTGAACATACTTATAAACATGGTGTATCTGGCCTTTCCTTTCCTGTAACTCCTCCTCCCAGGGTATTGGTTGCCTCGGGACCACCAATTGCTCATTTTCAAATGTGTGTGCCATGAGCAATTCTTGCCTTGCTTGATGAAATTTTTATATTAGAAATACTAGAGGCCGGGTGCATGAATTCGTGCACGGGTGGGGAGGGGAGGCGGGAGGTTGGCTGGGGGAGGGGGTGTCCCACCCCCAGTCGAACTCCTGGTAGAGGGAACAATTTGCATATTAGGCTTTTACTATATAGGATAATTGTGAAATTGGTTGCCCAGGCAGACATTCACAAACCTTTCAAAAGTGGCTTAAGCAATTAAACTTGGGGTTGGGGACAAACATTTCCCCTGGGCATATCAACAGAAAAGCCTTAGAGGACTTGACTTTTCTGGGCAATTTGTAATCTTGAAAACAGTTAATAAAAAAAGGTAAAGAGCAAAGGGTTTGTTTTTTTTCTAAAGAGACATGGCCTTTAAAATATATATATTTGTGTAATCCTGAAAGTAAAAGATGTGAATAATAATATTTACAAGATTAACTTTGTATTTCCTGATACTTCAAAGGAGAAATCCTGAAATGCATCATCTGCAGAAACATACAATTGCATTTTTTCCCCATTAAATTTGCCAAAGACTCTTAAGTAGACAACACTTGTTAAATCTATCTAATTTTACTAACTTGAGATTTTCCAAACAGATTTTAATTAAGTAGCATAGACTATTTAGATTTGCTTATAGGGCAAGGATATTTGGTGATCAAATAAGAACAGACTGAATGTTTGCCCTAAACTTGAAAGAATAAACTCAAATCTTTCTTTTAAACTAACAGGCAAATTAGCATAGTCCATTAGGTGGGCAGCATGCCTGTCCCTGTCAACATTTTAAATGTCCATACACTTTGAGCCATCATTTCCACTTCTACAATAATACACACAAGAATATGCAAGGGTGTATGTGTGAGGATATTCAATTTAGCATAGTTTGTAACAGCTTAGAAATGGAAAATACTCTATAGATACACAACACCTTCCCACTGTATGGAAAGGTGACACATTGTTGAGAAAGAAGATAAACTTATAAAACAAAAGGAAAATTATATTCATATATAAAGGGTGGCCCAAAACAATGTATATACACTCTGCATGATTATGAAGTCAGTGTTTATTAACATGCAGTTCAATTTAAAAAATGTAAAAAAATCTACAGAAATAAGTAACCAGCAGTCTGATCTCTGTATCCATGTCTGTTCAATTTTGTTTGTTTATGTATTTTGTTCTTTAGGTTCCATATCTTAGTGAAATCATATGGTATTTGTCTTTCTCTAACTTATTTCAGTTAGCATAATACTCTCTAGGTCCATCCATATTGCTGCAAATAATAAAATCTCATTCTTTCTTATTGCTGAGTAGTATTCCATTGTATATATGTACCACAACTTCTGTATTTATCCACTTGTCTATTGATGGGTACTTGTGTTGCTTCCATATTTTGGCTATTGTAAATAACGCTGCTATGAACATAGGAGTGCATATATTCTTTGGAATTAGTGTTTTGAGTTTTTCTTTAGATATATAACCAGAAGTAGAATTGCTGGGTCATAAGACAGTTCCATTTTTAATTTTTTAAGGAACCTCCATCCTGTTTTCCATAGTGGCTGCACCAACCTGCATTGCTACCATACTGTTAGTTTTCTTGAATCAGGACTCAAACTAGGTACACATATCACATTAAGTGTTAAATCTCTTAGGCCTCTTTTATCAACGGCAGTCTTCCCCGCTACCCCCACCGCCTCCCCACCCAAGCCATTGACTTGCTCAGAAATTGAATGGGGTGGCGTGGAGAACATCCCACACTCTGGATTTGCCTTTTCGCTTCCTGATAATGTCATTTCACTTTTTCTTACATCCCTAAAAGTGAAATCTAGCTCTTGAGGCTGGATGAGACCCAGGCTCTATTTATTTGGGCAACAATACCTGGGATGTAATGTTGTGGGCATCATATCACATCCCAGCAGGAAGCACAGGATGACTGGACATTCCATTTGTACTGAAGCTATTGTGGATAGAAGTGAGTCTCATCTCCTCCATCATAAAGTTTCCCATCAACCTTTCATCTAATGACTTCACTTGCTCATGATTACTCCCTGAATCAATTATTTCATAGGAGCTGCAACATGATGCTCTGATTCCATCATCCATTTGCATTTATTAACTGGAATTTTGATGTAAGAAAAGAATTTTTTGTCATCAACTAGGGCAGTGGTCAGCAAACTCATTAGTCAACAGAGCCAAATATCAACAGTACAAAGATTGAAATTTCTTTTGAGAGCCAAATTTTTTAAACTTAAACTATATAGGTAGGTACAGTGTTATTAACTTAATTAGGGTACTCCTAAGGCTTAGGAAGAGCCACACTCAAGGGGCCAAAGAGCTGCATGTGGCTCACCAGCCGCAGTTTGCCGACCACGGAACTAGTGTGATGTCAGTTCCCTGCAATACAGTTTATACAGGAAAGACAGGATAAATGCTTATTCCTTTCCTTTAAGTGCCAATTTTCTGAAAAGACTTGGTGTTGCAATGGGATCTGATGAGGCTGTTTGCTTTCTCTCACTTTTTCAAAACATCATTTGAGTTCATGTTTTTATGTTAATATACACGATGTGTTTTAATTCATTGCAGTTACTCCTTTTAGCTGCTCAGTTTATCTCATCGTTGGCCAATGGGAGTGCCTTCTTGTTGGTTCCTGTGTCCTTTTGACACAACTCATTAGTCCACCTTCCTTGCTTTCTGACACAACATGATTCTGTGCTCATCTTGAATATTTCTTGCTAGAGATCCAGGAGCAGCCTTCCCCTCCAGGATCCTTGGTTTCTTCTAGTTGAAAATGGAAATTAGATACCACAAGCTAGGGCTGTTTGCTGTCTTTTTTTTTTTTTTTTTTTTAATCCTCCCCTGAGGATATTTTTTCCATTGATTTTTAGAGAGAGTGGAAAGGAGAGGGAGAGACAGAGAAACACCATTGTGAGAGAGAAATATCAATTGGTTGCTTCCTGCATGCCCCCGACTAGGGCTGGGAGCCTGCAACCGAGGTTCGTGCCCTTGACCAGAATCGAACCCAGAACCCTTCAGTCCCCAGCCGATGCTCTATCCACAGAGCCAAGCCGGCTAAGGCTGTTTGCTATCTTTTAAGAGCTACCTGGTAGGGATAAGAGGTCCCTAGAAGGAAGTGATATTTCCCATAGACAAAATATCCTTGAAGGAGGTCACAGAAAAACTCAGATGGGGCCTTAGGGTGGAGTGAGAGAGTAACAGCTCCTGTTCAGGGGCCCTTAGAATTGGAAAAATGCCCAATGAACTTCACTTTGAGGGAGATAAACTGGATGTTATAACATGGTAGCAAACCAAGGTTCAGGTGGGAAGGTGCCACCTAAGGAGTCCCCAAGGTACGTAGATACCTGTAAGACAGAAAAGAAACCCTGAACTTCTTCATGACATACAGGACGGGGAACATGGTAGCAAACCAAGGTTCAGGTGGGAAGGTGCTTTCTAAGGAGTCCCCAAGGTACGTAGAAAGGTCTGAGGGACAGTGAACTGGCCCCCTATTTAAAAAGTTTGAGGACCCCTGGTTTAGACTATTGTGATTTGGCATAAAATGAAGCTGTGACTTCACAGGCTGATGAAATCTGGAACATTCTGGCTTCTAATATTTTTAAAAGTTTGAGATGGTTTTTATTCCTGGCATGTTTTATTGCATTGGAAGAGGAATTAGCATTTAGAAGTAATATGAAGGTCTATTGGTATATCTCTTCAGAGAAAGCCTTATAAACAATGCATGTTTTGGAGCAATGACTAATAAGAAACATTAATTGATTATTAACAGATGCCAGGCACCATGCTTAAGTCTTGCATGCAGTACCTCATGTAGCTCTCACAAAACAGTGTGAAATTAAGCCCTATTATCACCCCCCCTTTTTTTTTAACCTAGAAATTGCACATCTAGGATTTCGCTTTGAAGATACATCTCTAACAATGAACAGCCTGTTCATTATAACATTGTTTTTAGCTGAAAAATATTTAAAAACAACCTAAACATACATAGAAGAGTCGTTCAATAAATTATGGTATATTTAGGCAATGGAGTACTGAGCATTTTTTTAAAAAAGGAATAAAGAAGATTTATATGAACGTATTTGGAATGAGTTCCAGAGTATGTAAATTGATAAGTGAAAAACAAGCAAACAAACAAGGTGCGAAAGAATATACTGTAGGGTAAAAAAAAAACATAAGGAAATAAACACTTTGTAAAAAGAAGGATAGACCAGGAATGAATCCCACATACAAAAGGGTTAGTGGGAGTGAAGCAGAAAGAACGAGGGACAGGAAGGAATGTAATATAAGGGACGAGGAGAGAGCACCACTCCTCTGAGTTTACTATCTCGTGTATTCTTGTGTGTTAAAGCAATGCCAATGTATGACGTACTCATTACAATGAGAAATAATTAAAATCAACCAGCTGTTCATGGAACCCAAAATGAAATACAAACAATCTTTTTTTTTTTTAACAA